AACCACCCGTTTAACTGATGGCTGCTGTCTTCAATAAACCACCCGTTTAACTGACGGCTGCTGTCTTCAGTCAACCACCCGTTTAACTGATGGCTGCTGTCTTCAGTCAACCACCCGTTTAACTGATGGCTGCTGTCTTCAGTCAACCACCCGTTTAACGGATGGCTGCTGTCTTCAGTAAGCTACCCATTTAACCGATGGCTGCTGTGTTCAGAACCCAGCCCAGCCTTTGATTCAGTAATATCCCAGAATTTCTCACTCTGTGCCTCGTGATTCAACCCAACATCACAGTTAAAGAGTAGGAGCCACTGAAGCCAGGAGACTTCTGACTCCTGAATTTGAATCCTGACTTCACGCCCGTGTGTCCCTTCCCTCATTGTAGTGTGGGGTTGGTGATGGGTCCTGGTGAGGATTCAGTGTGAGAAGGTGTGGGCAGACTCGACTTGGGGCTGCAGTTGTCATTACTTAGAAGACCTTACTACCTCTGTGTGTTTGCTTAGCTGTGCCCCTCTCTGGAATGTTAGTTCTGTCCCCCCCACCTGAACCCCACTTGGCTGTCAAATGTCCTCTCCCCCAGGAAGCCCACTCGGATTGATGCAGCAGAAGATGATCTTTTCTCTCCTCCCTTCCTGTGTGTCTTCCTTGGTTCCCAGCACAGGGCCTGGGGACAGCTGTTGTCACCTAGTAAATTGGGGGTGGTCACAGTTCACCCAGCCTCAGCTTCAGGCCAGAGGGTGGGCTCTTGGGATGGGCCCCCATGCTGCCATTCCCTTTGATCTATTGTTTCTCTTTTTGTAACAGCTTTATCGAGAGATATTTCACATTCTGTAAAACTCACCCATTTACAGTAAACAACCTGGGTGTTTCCATAGTCACCAAGTTGTATTACGTGGTTGTATAACTACCGCATTCCAGAATGTTCTCATCACCCCAAAAGGATACTCCATACCCATCAGCAGTCACTCGCCATTCCCCTTCCCCCAGCTCCTGGCAACCACTAATCCACTTTCTGTCTGTGGATTTGCCTGTTCTGGACAATCCACGTAAATGGAATCATTCAACACACGGCCTTTTGTGGCTGGTCACGTTCACTGAGCGTAATGTTTTCAAGGTTCATCCAGGTTGTAGCACGTGTCAGAGCTTCTTTCCTTTTTATACCCGAGTATGTTTGCTTTTACATCATAAAAGACACTTGTGCTCTTTGAAAACATCCTCGAACCCGACAGGAGTGTGTGCTGGTGGTGTCAGACGCACATCCCCACGGTGACCCCTCTCACGGTCTGGCTTGCTGTGTCACCTTCGGGCCATTTTCTGTCTGTAAAAACTCTCTTTTTAAAAGTCTTCTAATCTTAAACAGACTCATACGATACACACCTTTTCTTTACAAGGTCGCTTCTCTGAGTCACAACCTGCAGATTCATATCATTGTTGTTTACGGGTTTTATTGACTCAAGAAATAAATACATTTGTCCTTAAGCAGATTGCCGGCAGGTCAGAAACTGTGGGGAACTCATGGGGGTGGGTGTACGTATTGTTTACACAATGGCTGGTGGCTGTTCCCGCTGAGCCATCCATTTAACTGGGGGTTTTTGTCCTCAAAAAGCTACCCATTTAACTGGTGGCTGCTTTTCTTAGTGCTGTAACAGCAAAGTTGAGTAGTCACTACAGAGTCTGGTCTGCAAAGCTGAAAATATGTACCTTGTGGCCCTTTACAGAATGTTTGCTGAGCCTTGTATCTACGGTCACTCATTTCATCCTCACCATGGCCTCTGAAGTAGAGATTGTTGTTAGCTCAGTCTCACAGAATGAGGTGACCGAGGGTCAGAGAGGCCCAGATCACACAGGGACTCCCAGAAGGGGGGTTGTCGGGTCACAAAAGGCAGACCCCTAAAGGTCGGGTGGGCTGCCTGTTTCTGCTCACCCTGGCCCCATCCCTCCCTCCCTCCCTTCCTCCACAGTCAGGCGCCTCCAGCTTCGGTGAGAAGTTCTCCCGTGTCAAGTTCTCGCCGTCACTCACGCTGTTTGGTGGCAAGCCCATGGAGGGCTGGATAGCAGTGACGGTCAGCGGCCTGGTCACCGTATCCCTGCTCAAGCCCAGCGGGCAGGTGCTGACATCAACCGAGAGCCTGTGCCGGCTGCGCGGCCGCGTGGCCCTGGCCGACATCGCCTTCACGGGCGGCGGGAACATCGTGGTGGCCACGGCGGACGGCAGCAGCGCCTCACCCGTGCAGTTCTACAAGGTGTGTGTGAGCGTGGTCAGTGAGAAGTGCCGCATCGACACCGAGATCCTGCCCTCGCTCTTCATGCGCTGCACCACTGACCTCAACCGCAAGGACAAATTCCCTGCCATCACCCACCTCAAGTTCCTGGCCCGCGACATGTCGGAGCAGGTGAGCGCGGCGGCGGGGGCCTAGGCGGGGGCCTCTCTCGGGGCTGCAGGGGAGCTTAAAACGGCACAGATTTATCACCCGGGAGTCAGGAGTCCCACACGGGTCTCACGGGGCTGAAATCTGGGTGTCGGTTGGTTCCTTCTGGAGGCTCCAGGGGAGACCCATCTCCGACCTTTTCCGGCTTCTAGAGGCCCCGCGTTCCTTGGCCCGTGGCCCCTTCCTGCGTCTTCAAAGCCAGCAGCGAGCATCTTCCAGTGTCTCTCTCTCTCTGCTTCTGTCCTCACATCTCCTCCTCTGACCCTCCTGCCTCCCTCTGGTGAGGACCCTGTGGTCACACGGGCCACCCGGGTGATCCAGGATCATCTCCCGTCTGAAGATCCTTCACTTTGTCTGTCTGCAGTGTGGCTTTTCCCATGTGTACATATATGCTGGGGCTGCTGGAACAGCCGACCACAAACTGGGGGCGTGGAAGCAGCAGAGAATTTATTCCCTCAGTTCTGGAGGCCGGGAGTCTGAAATCAAGGCGTAGGCTGGGCCACGCTCCCTCTGGGCACTCTAGAGGGGGACCTTCCTTGTCTCTTCGGGCTTCTGGGGGCACCAGGTGTTCCTGGGCTTGTGGCCACATCAGTCCAGTCTGTCCGTCTTCCTGTGGCCTCCCCTCTGTCTCCCTGTCTTCATACGGACGCTCCTTGGGTAGGGTTAGGACCCGCCCTCCAGGATGAGCTCACATTAACTGATAATATCTGCAGAGACTCTAGTTACAGACAGCCTCACGTGCACAGGTACGGGGGTGAGGACTCCCGCGTGTCTTTTTGGGGGACACACACAGTTCAGCCATAGTGCCATGTCAGGCCCCACACAGTCCCGGGGTGAGGTTGTGGACATCTCTGGGGACCATGGCACCAGGTTGCCGATTCCCACCCTCACCAGGCCCGTGTGTCTCCCCAGCCCTGCCCCCTTACCCCCTAGGAGGGCGCCATCCCAGGAGACAGCTCAGGTCTGGGAGGCAGGTGCTGGTGAGCCTCAGTTACCACGGGGAGACCAAGGCCCAGTAGCTTGAAGGCAGGGGCGCTGCAGACCAGAGGTGGGATGAGCACCCACACCTCCTCCTCATCACCCTGCCCGTCCTCACCCAGCCCTCAGCGCCGTGCCCTCACTGTGCCCCACCACCCCCAGGTGCTGCTGTGCGCCTCCAGCCAGACCAACAGCCTCGTGGAGTGCTGGTCCCTGCGGAAGGAGGGGCTCCCCGTGAACAACATCTTCCAGCAGATCTCGCCCATGGGTGAGTCCTGGGCTGAGCCCGCCTGCCCAGTGCACCTCGCTAATCACGCGCCGTGAGCAGGGCGCCGTTCTGAGCGCGTCAGGCATACGGACTCGTTCCACCCTCATCCCACCCGCCGAGGTGGGGCTGCTGTCTTCCTGACGCACAGGTGGGGAAACAGGCTCAGAGCAGCCACATCGCTTGCCCAGATGCCCAGTGGGTGGGCAGCCAGGTCCCCTCCCTCTGATGCCCCTGCAGGCAGTGTGTCCTGGTGGGGACAGCACACGCAGGTGCCCTGGGCACGAAGCTGAGCGGGCAGCAGGGCCCCTGGACTCCACTGGAAACCCTGGTTGTAGTGGGGAAACTGAGGCCCAGGGAGCTCAGTTGACTGAGTGCCCAGGCCACCTGCCTCGCCTTCCCAGCGCCTTCCTGTCTTTGCCCCATCAGGGTCCTGCCCAGCGTGGCCTCCTTGAGCCACACGGGGCACCAGAGCCCCCAGTGGCTGCAGCATGGCCCCCAGACCCCACCAAGATCGCCACTTTGGCCCTCAGAAAAGACGGGCGCTCCAGGAAAAAACCACTTGGTTTTCACCCCAATGAAGTGCTGGGGGAGATGACCCTGCCAGGACTGCCTGCCCACCCCCCTGGTTTCCAGGCCCACCTTTGCCCTGCAGACAGCGATGTTTTCCCGGCAGATGAGAGCCAGCTGGTCCAGCTAACGGCCCCTGGAGTGGTCAGCATTCTGGAGAGCCCTTGGAAACCGCTAATGAACCCTTGTTGAGGCTGGGAGCAACTCCTGCCCAACCGTCCCCAGGGGTGGTTACGTAAATGGCCCATTGTGGCCAGTGAAGTAATTAAATGTGGAGAGGGGCCCAGCCCCTCCCCTGCAGGCATCATGAGTCACCCAGCAGCGTGGGCTGCATTAACAGCTGGGTGGCAGCCTGTGTCAGCCCCAGGGCTGGCCACGATCCTTCCCGTGTCTCCTGGCCTTGGACTGGCCTCATGGGGCCCAAGCAGCCTGGATTACACCTTCTGCCTCCTACTCAGCTCCACCTGGACTCATGGCCCTTCCATGTGGCCTAGGCGGGCAGCACATCCCCCGTCCTCCGAGCCACCTATTCCCAAACTGGCTAGCCTCTCCTCCCTTTCTTCCCCCAACTCTGCTGGGTCTAGGCCCCCCACCAAGGTCAGGCCCACCCACAGCCAGGGCTGGGATGGCAGTGGGGCAGGACCCAGGGAGGGGGTGCTGGCTGCCTCTTCTGTCTTGTCCTCACTCGCTCTTGTCCTGCTTTCAGTTGGTGACAAGCAGCCCATGATCCTCAAGTGGCGGATCCTGTCGGCCACCAATGACCTGGACCGTGTTTCGGCTGTGGCGCTGCCCAAGCTGCCCATCTCGCTCACCAACACCGACCTCAAGGTGGCCAGCGACACTCAGTTCTACCCTGGCCTTGGTATGGCTGAGCTTGGGAACGGCCATGCTGCTGGGGCCCACAAGGGCAGGTGGGCTCTGCATGCAGGGCCAGGGTCGTGGGGGCTTGGTCTCCTGGCCCACGAGGGCAGGTGGGCTCTGCGTGCAGGGCCAGGGTCATGGGGGCTTGGTCTCCTGGCCTCGAGTCAGTTCTGGCAAGGAGGTAGAGCTCCACTTTTAGGGTCTGATAAGCTCGCAGGGCTGCGAGGTTGGCTGACAAAAAGTTGCATTCTTTCACATATAAAGAGCTGTTACAAATCAATAAGAGAGGTTGGGAACGTGGAGGCAAAATCCTGTTCCAGACCAGAAGCGTCCCCCGTTGTAGAGACCAAGATGTCAGTCCCTGTTCAAATGCACGAGCAAGTCAGTCTTGCTCTCCAATGATGAGCCTCGGTTTGCTCAGCTGTAAAGTGGGGCAGTAATTCCCAGGGTTGGGAAGGTGAGACCTAAGGGATGTGATGGCCCTGACTCAGGCCCTTCTCTTCCTCCAGTTTGTTGAAGGAAACATTTAGGCACTTAACATCAGGCTCAGGGCTCCTTGTTTGGAAGCTGTGGGGAGACAGACGTGAACATACATGTCTTGGCTTGAAAAGCCCCTTCGTTTTCCACCCTTTCCACCTCTGAGCGTCCCGTTAGCTTGTTCTGTCCACGAGCCTTCGCATTCTGCAGCCCCCCCACCCCCACCCCACACCGCATGACTGCCAGCCGAATATCAGATTTCCATGAGACAGTGTGAGGTGCAGGCAGCAGCTGACAGCCAGCCCCCAGCCCCCGCCCACAGATGACTTTATCTTTGAGGCTCTTGACCTGCGGGTGCTCAGCCTCCGCTGACCTCGCCACCTCCCCCACCCACACGAGGCCTTTTGTGGTCAGGGTCCCGACGCTTGAGGACCCCCTGCATCCCTGGGTCTTCCCACGTGCCATCCCCTCTGCTGGGAGTGCCCTCCTCACCTCTTCCCTGGGAAGCTGCGCGTCTGCTTGTGTCTGCTGCAGGGGAGCATGGGAGGTGTCACCTGAAGCCGCTGTCACCTGCCCCCTGACCTGGAGGGGGGTGGTATCTGTTACTGAAGGGAGAAGGGGAGAGCGGCTCTTGGGTGGCTGGCTCTCCCTCCTGTGTGGTTGGACTCCCGGGCAGTGGGCTCTGGTGTAGCTCAGAGTGCACCCCACCGCTAGTGTGCTGCCTGCTCAATATTGGCAGCCACCCCTGCTGTCCAGAGTTGGGTGACTGGGTGGGTTCCCGGCCCTTCCACACCCTGACCCCCATGTGTCCCCCACCCAGGGCTGGCCCTGGCCTTCCACGACGGCAGCGTCCACATTGTCCACCGCCTCTCCCTGCAGACCATGGCCGTCTTCTACAGCTCCGCAGCCCCGAGGTCCGTGGACGAGCCGGCCATCAAGCGCCCTCGGACCTCGGGCCCCGCCATCCACTTCAAGGCCATGCAGCTCTCCTGGACCTCACTGGCGCTTGTGGGCATCGACAACCACGGGAAGGTAAGTGCTGTTTGGGGCACTGCCGAAGCCGCCCGCCTGGCGGGGACCGGTGGCTACCGGCGTGCCTCACCAGCGAGGGAGGGGCCCTTTGGGGACTTCCCCACCCCTCGCGTCCGTTGACGAGGTACTTAACCTCTGAGCCCAGGCTTCCTGGCCTGTGAGGTGGGATTACTGACAGTGAGCTGACGTGGAAGAGCGTTAGTGTGCTGTGCGGCGCGGGGCAGGTCTCCGCAAGGTGTGCTTCTCGGGGCGTTGCTGGTGCGGTTGAGACGTGGGGAGGTGTGCTTCTTGATGACCGTAGTAGCTGTCAGGTGGCTGCTTTTCGTGGTGCGCACCTTACAGGACTTTTAGAATTGAACGTGATGGCGTGTATGAGCCCAGTGTGGCCGCTGGCGCGTGGGAGGTGTGTGATAGGTGTCTTCCTTCCTTGTTACCAGAGGCACTTACACTGACAGCAGAGGGGAGCGCGCACACACGCACACGCACCCATGCGCGCGCACGCACGCCCACACCCCTCACCCACTCGATCACCTGTGGGTGCGTTGCAGGCCATCTCTGCGGTGACCCTGAGGCCCCAAATGTACACCCAAATGCATCTGCCACACAGCCTAGATGACAAGCCCACCCCCAGACACACTTTAGGGTCAGTGAGAGCGTGTTCGGCCGTGCCGTACAACGGGCCTGGTTCCTGCCTGTGCCCCAGCGAGTCTTTACCACACTCACTGCGGCCCGGCTCTGCAGAGCCTTTGCATCAACGCTCCATGTCCTCCAGCCACCTATCACCAGGGAGGAGAGGCGGCTCAGAGGCAGCGCCCAGCACCCAGCACCACACAGCCACTGCTGTCCCCAGCGCACTCAGCTCTCTGCAGCTCACCTGGGTCTGCCACGCCCCCCACAGAGCCCCACTCTCCCCAGCTCACCCGTGTCCCCCCACAGAGCCCCACTCTCCCCGGCTCACCCGTGCCCCCCCCC